ATTAGTAAGGATTTAATATTTGTAAATTGTAATGCAAAGGAGTCCTGCAGCTCCACTTTACATTAAGAATATAAAATATATATTTATATATATATAAATCTATGTGAAATCTTTTCAGAAAGTCTGTGATTTGAACCAGCGACGGCCACGAGGCACAGCTGAAAACTCTTTCAGAGGAAAAAAGCAATCAACTCGACTGTTGTTCTCTCGCTGGGTCACAGTGGGGAGCTTCCCTTTCTTCTGCCTCCTCATACAATACCACAGCCTCAGTCCTTGCTCTGCCTCAGCCGCCGCTTCATCATCCCACTCTGCCAGTATTGATTGCATCAAGTCCTTCCAAATGGATGAATAGAATAACCTCCCTCCCTGTATCCATTTCCTCTTCTGCTGATGGGCAGAAACACAAGGAGTGTGGCTATAACGGCGAACCTGAGAGTCTGGATTCCTGCTCCACTGATCATGTGCATCGTCCGACACCAACCTCAGACAATCATCCTCATCCTCTCTCCCATCAGCCTTGGTTTAGCCCGACTGGCCACAGCTCGCACAGAATCAATCAGCGTTGAGATACGGGCGGCCGTCACGCCGGTGACCGATTTTGGCATGCAAGGCTCTCCCTTAATAGACAAAGAGACGGAGATCAATAGTCAATTTGGCCTCGGAATGAGGCTGGAAATTCATTTTATTTTCCTCTTCTTTGCGCAAAAAGTCGGGAAAATTGTGATGAACATTCACGACTGGTACATTACAGCAGTGAATCAGTCATCGGTCTGTGTACGACTTCTCCTGGCAGCGCAGATAAGACTGTAAAATGACTTTGTGTGAGAGTTTTGCAGTTTTGAAATGCGCAGTATGAAATATGTGATGAGAAAATGTCATGGAGTTCAAACAGAAAGCAGATTTGTTGGTTTTCTCTTCACTGATGAAGTAAATAAGAACTAAAACCTCAAAAACTGCACTTTTTGAGGTTTTAGTTCTTTACCTGAGTTTTTGCACTTGGAGGTTAAAAGCAGTGACCTCCACTTAGGGTCTGATTATTCTAGAAGGAGCCAAAACGTAGAGGATGACAAACGCTGTGAGACAGAGACAACATTCATAGTATTGAACTTAACTGAAAATATAAAAAGTGACAGAAATGGAGCACGGAGTGGGAGTGGACGTCAGATTTTCTGATGCTGGGGGGGGGAATCCTGTTCTACACCAACATTTGAACATTATATGAAAAACGTCTGAAGAATCCATGATTATAAATATCAGAAATCCATAATTCCATAAATACATGCATGGATGAGTAGCACTATTAAAAACCTTCTTATTCTCTGTTTATACACTTTCACTAATAACACGTCTGTACTATAGGAGTATTTTGAATGCAGCCCTTAAACCAATCATGAAGTATTTTAACATCATATATCCACCACTTCATACATTTTCTGTGTACAAATACACAGTATTTGACTGCAGGGTGCACAGTCATCCCTCCCTTTACACCATGTTTCCTCTCACGTTGTTCTAATGTCTTGTCACGGTGTAAATGATAATTACGACAGCTGGGACTAAAATGACAATAATTTGCGTCTGTGCATGAATGGACGTCGGCCTCTCCAGAGCGTAATTGGCGGTGGAGAGGATTCAGTCACGAAAACTGAAGGATTGGTTTTCTACACATTTACTGCTCATTATAATTACGCTTCTCAGCACTATGCTATCATTTCCCCATTGAGATGCATAATAAGGTTTTTTCCATTAGGAGCGCCGTCTCCATGGTGCAGTGTCGGGGGAGGGGGGGAGAGACCGAGTCCTGCAGGGCCTGGAGGCGTTTCAGGTGTGAAGTGACACCTTGAGTTGTGCAGCAAAACCTCGCTGCTTCTAAAGAGATCAGTCAAAATGTGTCCTCCCCTTTTATCTCCCCCTGTCTGTCTCACCCCCACTGATTCCTGACGTGTTCCTGCAGCGGAAAAAAACCTTTAAAACACAGATTGAATGTTTCTCGGGATGTTTTAGGAAACTCACAAAGTCACGACACCCAGAATGTGATGGAGAACTTTTGCTGTGGTTTTATTGATTCAGAGCAATAAGTGCAGAACTGAAGGGATAACGCTGCCCACACAGATTTCTGCTGTTTCCTGCAGTCACATCCTCGACTGTACGAGCTGGTCCCTCTCATCCTGTCTCTACTTCATGTTGGTTTACGTCCTAATAATGTGATTTACTTCTGTAAACATGGACAGTAACAGAATCTATATTTTTGATTCTGCTTTGTTAAAGCCGTCTTAATATTATAATAATATTTATATCATTATTTATACGACACACTTGCCAGATAATATATAATAGCTAGTGCTCAAAGTAGCTATAACAAAATCGGGATTATGAAAGTTATTTGATACTGATACTGCAAAAAGGCTATTATTTTTGAAACATGAGACAGGAAGGACTTGTGTTGAGCGAGTACTTATCAAATTATCGTACATCATGCATTATTGATCGCAAGATTGTCGTACAAATACAATAATTATCGTACATCTGGCATCACTGCAACTTACACACTAGATCTTAAATCCATATATCTACAAACCTAAATCAACGTATTAGTCTTTGTGTGATTAAAATACAAGTTTACATTTCTTAAAGTTTCTACCTCTTCTCTCTTCCAGTTTCTGCATAAGCAAAACAAACTTCCAGCTGTGACATTTCCTTTTTGCTGAAGCTGCAGATCCAAACCTCACACACCTTGCGGCCGTCCTCGGCAGACTTAGATCTAACGGGATTAACCTTTATGATTCAACCCGCTCTCCCTCCGCCTCCCCAATACATCACCTCCACGTGTTTCCAGTCTTAAACGACCGTGTGATGGATGCGTCTCGATGACGCCGGGGGAGTGATCGTCCTCCACTGCACCTCAATCGATGTAATATCATCCCAGTGGCATAAAGAAGCACCAGCAATGAAACAATTTGGAACGTTGGGTCGCATTCGAATCTTCTCTCCGTGAACGAGGCTGATTTTCTCCACCGCTACGTGCTAAAGGCTAATGTTGGCCCCATCGCACTTAATGACGCTGAGGCCCCTCATCCTTCACCGCTGCCATAAACTCTGCTGATTTCATTAGAGCGTCTGCCGGGATGAGAATCGGGACGCTGACATTACTGGCAACATGTGCAAATTTAAATATATATTTTCTTTCCGAATCAAACCTCTGAAATATGCTCCTCATGCACCCCTGAGCTAATATAATATAAATGTTAATTAAGGTCTGAGCGGCGAGCTCTGGGAATGAATATTTGTGATAAAGCAAGGGATCTTCCTTTCGTTCAACCCTTGAAAAGGAAAACAAAATGAGAGTTTTTAAAAATATATTATGTATGATCATAACTGAGAAAACATACATAGTAAATATTTTAGCTATTTTCTCTGCCACTGGAGCATGTGGTGTTCACTGCTCAGATCATTTAAAGATGTGAATCTCTGAACAAACAGTGACATTAAAACCGAGCTGATCATTTATTCCCCGAATGGACGAGTTAGAATACGTGAATTAAATCTGTCAGCTGTGAGTTGATGTGTTGTGAACCAAACAGAGTCAAGATAAATATGGTTAAATTAAAGATAAATGCACATTTCCAGCGTTGCCATCTCTTTCAAATCAATGCAGCGTCCAGCGGCAACAGCAGCGATAATTTAATCTGTTTTCATTCCCACAGCTGTGAAAGTTAAAAACTCAATATTGCAGGAGCTCGACAGCTCCAGAGGAATTAAAATCACATGTGGTCACTTTGATTCTGCGGCTGACTGTCATCGCTGATTCTTTCTTTCCCTGAGAACTTTCAGTGGTTTCTGCAGAAGTGAGTAAACTCCGGTGCATTAAGCAGCGGTGGAAAGTTTCCTCACACGTAGGTTAAACGGGAACAGCTGTGTGCCGTCGTGCACGTCGCCAGTGGGGGTGGACTTGATACAGCAGGTTAATTGTCTGTGGCGGTGACGCTGGCCCTCATTAACCTCACCGCGTTACCTTTTACCGTGGATAAATGGCGGGCTTTAAATGTGCCATCTGTTGCCGCCCACATTCCTTTACGGAGTCGCTAACTGAGAGTGACACAACGAAGCCTTTCAAGGACGTTAATGTTGTCGTCTAACAAGGAGGTAATAAGACACAAAACCCCCCTGAAGAGTTCCGGCTGCTTGAAACGAAGCCAAACACTCTTTTATTAGCATTGATTAGCTTTAATGTCAGTAGATTTTGCTTTCAGCTTCCCGTCGTCTGATAACAAGCTGACATGCATTGAACTTCAGACAATTTCCTGAAATCATCCAGAGGGGGTGAACACAAACGTCCGAGTTGCTCAACATTCTCCAGTTTTTCCTGCCAGCCTCCGGGTAAAATGTCCGAGTGAGGCCGTGCTGGAGAGCGTCCAGAGAATTCTTAGAAAAGGATATGACGTTTAAATTCTGCTGAAGAAAGTGCGTGTTGTTGTTTACATCACAGAATCACAGTATCACCAAAAGATCACGAATCTCTTTGTCTTGAATCTCTTAATTTCAGGAACATGTTCGGAGTTCAGTGCAGGTCTGGTGCATCCTTCTGTCACCTACTTTGAGACAAAGTTAAACTAATCTAACAAACTAGATGCTCCCAGTCTGAGGGAACACAGAGATGTTTACTGGCCGCCATCGTGACTGGAGCCTCGGGTGAAAAACAAGATGACGAGCTGATGCTGTGGCTCCAGTTTTCTGCTGACTGACGTTAATTTGACATGTATTCAAACACTGCTCGGCACAACTTGTTAAAGTGTCACCGTGGTGACAGGCGCGGCACACGCGCTGCATAATCAACTATATAAATCACGATTAAGTGAGCCGCCTGCATTGAGGGGCGATGCATGGTAATGAATGGAGAGAATGGATTTTTAAGAGGCATGCCTTAATGATGACATTCCATCTGTAAGTAATTATCACGTCTTATTTACAATAGAGTCTGAGCGGGTTTCTTCATCCTTCAGTTCATGTTTATTTGTAAAATAAAGTGTTGAAACATAGTTAAATATATGACACAAACATTTCATTGACTGATAAGAACACAAGTAGTTTCTACGACCATGACTTTTCTAGCCTTACAACAGTTTTGGGAATATACCGTTAATTTTTTTTTTTTATACATGAACTGAAAATACAAAGTTACGGTAAACATGCCTCTTGATAAAAATATCTTTACAAAAAATGTACATTTCTATACAACAGTTGTCAGTTACATGTCAAGCCCCACGAATTCGCTTAAAACCCACAAGAATTCCAACAAACTGTCAGTATATTATTTCTGCTTTATTTTAAAACCTCTCTTTTTAGCCTATCGGTGTTTGAAATCATCATAAGGATTATTTACATGGAAAACAAAATGTGAGCCAGAAATCTTCTAAAGTGACCCAGATAAATTACAACAATTAAAAGCAATGATGTTTTTTTTTTTTATATGTATATATATTTTTGCAAAATGTTTGACACATCACTGCACGGTTCATTAAATAACAGACTACCAGCAAAAAAAAAAAAAGATAAAACATAGGAGAGCCATTTCCCTTAGTCATGTTTCCGGGTACAAAAATAGTGCTAAATATTAATCATCATTCTCCAGACGCTTGTTTTGAAGAGTGGTTATTTTAAACTTTGATTTTTTTCGGGCAGCGCAGCCATGTGTGTTGACCGGTGAGTGCATGAAATTGTGCGACGTGACTTTTCCTTGAGAATTTAAGGATTTAAAACATTTTCTTATCAACACCCGGTGACGTGGTTTTTATTTATGCAGCTTTTGAGCAAATAGTTGGACAGACACCGGAGTTAATGGGGTTTTGTTTGTGGTGTTAAAAGCTCTGAAAAATGATATTTGCAGTTCACTTCGTTGTTCAGAGGGGGATTAGCTAAATGTTAACTTGCAAGAAAACAAGGAAGTTTGGATCCGGAGCAATATACAATATTAGTTTCATTATTTATATCCTGTTACGACAATAATCCTTCAATTCACATCAGCATCAATGATATTAATTAAATTAAATTTAAGATGCAACACCGGTTTAAGTTATTTAGTGTAGAACAGAACACGAGGCTTAAACTGCACCTGAGTGAACAGCTGAGCAGCAGCCAGCAACTTTTGAATCGTTCAGGTCAAACTGGTTCGATCGCGTCCGGAAAGCTTTTACATTAATGAAGTTTTTAACCTGATGTTGGCTCACGTACAGTAAAACATCATCAGAAGATGAGACACCTGGTTCATGTCACAACACCGACCTCCTAACAGCCACATCTTAGAGTGGGGGGGGAAATGGAGCAAACATGATGTGAATAATTAACAGTAGAACACGCTGGCGCCCATTCACCGGTGACATAATTCAATTTGCAGCAATTTATTTCTAATCATGTTAATTGTAGTTGCTCAGCTGAAGCTCAAGCCGCTTATGAAATTTTTATATGTTAGCAGCTGCACATGGCAGCGAGGCTACTGCCAAATATGAGCTGGCAGGAATCATGTAGGTTGATGTTAGTAAACAGTAAATCCTCCAGTGCCAGTGGCCGGTTCAGCTACATCTGCTCACAGTTTGTACTCAACCATAATATTGACTTTGACAGACATCTTCTGTTTTGTCTTGTCTCATTTTAAGGCATATTACTCGATATTTACTCAGCTTTTTAAGCAATCTGAATTAATGATTACAGTAAATAATATCAAAGCATTAATTACATCTTCCAACGATTTCTAAAACCTTACGACGCTCCTTCACCTACATAAGACATAATCGATACAGGATACAGAGGGATGATGAGGAGGAGGAGGAGGAGGAGGAGGAAGAGGAGAGAGGGCGTTGGCTCGTGAACAGCAGAAATCCATGTTGGGATGCCAGGCTAAGCAGGGCGATGCTCCGTGGCAGGAGGCCTGTGCCAGTGCTGGCGTTCTACCACAGGAGGCCCTGTCTGCTTTTGAAAACTTGGCAGGAGTTGGAATATATGATGGAACAGCCCCGCAGGGCATTTGTGTGATAAATGGATAAAGCGGGAAAAGTCATGCTCACAACTATTGGCTCATGAGCGAGTTAAAATCCGAACCAGGCGGCACAACGCCTCTTTCATTTCTCTGAATATCACACTGCTGTCGCACGTTGTTCTCCTTGTTATTTATTCATTCGATTTTTGAGCTATAACAGAAATTCCTTAAAAAAAAAAAAGAAAGGAAGTAGAATCACAGCGCAAACACATTTAAGAAAAGCAACAACGTCAATGTCTCCTTCTTGCAACATAAAGTCAATAAGTAAGTCCCTTTATTTCCTTCAGTTGTTTTATTTTTTTCAGGAACATGATTATCGCATCATATTTGCAGCCTCTTGCAATGAAATAGGAGTCGCACAGAATATCCATGAGGTCAAGTCAGGCCGACGCATTAAAATGGATCTTGAATACATTTTCTACAGAGAGCAAATCACACTCGGTTTGTGCTGCACAGTTGCGGCATCTTAAATGTGATTGGGCATCTCTTGAACACACAACTCAACAGTCCAGAATGGGTGTCTTGATTCCTTCAGAGATCCTTCTCTTGTCTCTAGAAGGTGATGATGAAATTCTAATATCGCGTCCTCACCCTGAAGTGACAAAAAGAAAGAAAACGCACTTAAACACATCACAGGCTCGTCCTCAAACATGGTGGTTGATTATGAAGCTGGAAATCTGGAGAGGACTAAGTTGCATTTTAAGAGCTTGTCCAGTTTTTGAATGGACCCCTGCAGATGTTCGTTGAAGGCCGGAGCCGCCTGCCTCTCTACTCCCCCTGGACACGACTTATTGAGGTTCTCCTCAATGGGATTTTCTGCCCTCGGTTCGGCCTCCGAGCAAAACATTGATATATTCAATGCGACCCGAGGGAAATTTTCAGGTTTTTAAAAGTACCAGCCGGGGAGGTTTAGAGAATCTGCTGAGAATTTTTAAAAGGCAGACGTGGAGATGGGAAATAGATGTGCAACATGTAGAGGTGAGTAAGACACCTGACGCCTGGATGGACGGGCACGTTTCAGATGTGGCAGAAAGTAATCAACGTATCGTACATCGTGCATTAGTGATTATACATCGTACAGAGGTTGAATTATCGTACAAATACGTTAATTATTGGACAACACTGTGTACTGCAACATTTTTACATACATACTACATGTTCTACCACAATAGAACGAACAAAGTAGTGTCCACGAAAAGTAAACTGTCTGCTAACTATTCCAAAAGACAAAACACACTAGGTTTTTTTCATATTCAATTTCTGCCAATAGATCCTCTTCACCTAAATCTCACACACTGGACCTTAGAATGATTGAGTCTGAAGTAATCTCCCTCACAAGATGACGAAAGCTAAACAGAAATAAAAACATCAAAATAAGTTGTGAAATATATTATGTGATTAATAATCTGAGTTTTTCTTTGCTCATCCAGCAGCAAAAGAAAAGTGCAGCAGAGCTGAACTCAGTCTTACAACATCAACCGTCTCCAACTCGTAAACACATTCAAGCGCCCCTGCTATGAAAAGCCAGCCAGTGGTGAGCTAACTGATGATGTGGCTGCATCATTACCCTGAGAGGCAGGAAACTTTTTACCTCAGGCCTTCATACCCCCTTCCACACAATTCAATTAGATGAATGTTGTTTGTGGGCGGTTCTGGGCCATTGAAATACCATTAATGTTTCCTCTGTCGAATTCGGCATTAGCTGCCCTTCACTGGAGCTGGTCTTCCAAATGTCATGGAGCTTATGACTGAGGAGATGATGAACGGATGTTTAGAGATCTAAGAGCCTCCAGGACCTTGTGCTGCAGAACGACCTCACACATAACGTAACGGACACTTGAATTAAAGCTCTTACCTGATCTCAGTTGTCAATATCCGATACGTGGTTTTCTATCTGAAAAAAGAAAACAGAGATGAAACGTTTTTAACCGAGCTCACAGGTTTTTCGTTGATCTTTTCCAAAAGGTCGTGCGCTCGGCAACAGCAGCCGTGTTAACCTGTGGAACAGTGTTTGTTGTGCGTTATCACGGCCAATGATCAGTGTGACCTTCAGGAAACAATTAAATCCATCTATCATGTCTCTGAAAAATAATGTCTGCTATGGACGAGGACACAAAGCTTTCATCAAGGATAACAAACACATCCATACATGGTTAATGAATAAATAAATAAATAAACTAATAAATGCAGCATAACAGAAGGAGGCTTGGTCAAAAACATGGCCACACTGCTAATACAACTAATGATTGAATTCTGGGTAATATATTTTAATCGCTGTGTAATTTGGTGTTGGGGATTTTTAACTGGATCATCAGGATGCAGATAAATGTTATAATTGTAATATTATATTATTATAACCCGTCTTTTTAAAATACTTCCCACATCACATTTTCTTGCCCATTTTACAACGAAAAACTGCAATATTACAGTAATTTGTGTCTGTTGGCAAAAAGAAGCAGAAAACACTGAGTCTTTGTTACTTTCACACCGGTGCAGTTCTCATTTTATCATTCAGTGTCCATTTTGTTTAATAAGCAAATGCTTTTAAGCCCATCTGAGCCCCCATGGGTGTGTTAGTCTGAGGCAGCACAATGAGATATAAATACAGACACATGAACAAAATAGGTGTGAACATGTAAATTCTTTACTTTCTGAGATAAGCCCATTTTCTATACAGTATGTATATTTCACCGCACGTAACTAAATGTATTGACGTCACAACGACGTCTTTGCTTTCTGCTGCAAAAAGAATGAATGCTTATACTGTTATAGTTTTATTTTAGATGGATGGAAACAGTCTCATGCAAACGACAGTCTCCCACAGCCGGTGAGGTCTGTTTTCAGACAAATGACTGTGATAACAATTTTATTTCATGACAGATTTTTAAAAGAGAGATAAATATAATGTCCTTGTGAAAGAAAACCTCCTCGTCCCTGTTCTACTTGAACCATTTCACGGTGAGCTCCACACCAGTCCGTGCAATTCTCAGTCTAAAACCCTCTTACTATGTGTCTTAAGCCCTTGGCTTTAATTTCAGCCTGTGAGTGTGTGCGTGTGCGAGCCTGTGAGTGTGCGTGTGGGCTCGTGAAGAGCCATGTTTCCGCTGTCTGAGCCGGGGTCGTCAGGGAGAAACTGTCAGTCCGGGCGCCCTCGCCATTCACTCATGTGAAGCCGGGCTCTCTCAGATCTGTGTCCATGAATAATTCTGGAAAATTAACTTTCAGAAAGCAAAGACTGTCTTCCCACTGGAGAGCTCCCCAAAGTGCCTCGCTCTCTCTCCCTCCCTGTCAGCGCCGTCAGCCCTTTCTCTTACCAGATGGTGGCTGCCCTCCTCGTCGTAGTCGTCCTCACCTCCATCGGTCATCTCTCCCGCCTCCACGTCCAGCTCCCCGTCCCCGGCCTCCTCCCCGGAGTTTTCCGCCGTCTCCGACACCGACTCCTCGTGCAGGGAGTCGCAGTTGTCCTCGTACTTTCTCTGAGACTCTTTGAGAGAGGCACAGAGAGTGGAGTCAGCGTGACACCGAGATCAGTATCGCTTTTCTTTATATAGAAGCTGCAAAGTTGAGTTGGCTGCTGTTTTCAGAAACATAAAGACTTCTCATGTGGAGTTCTTGCTGCTTCTTTCCCTCAACTGGACTCAAGCAGTTTCACCTCAACAGGAGAGAATTAACTCTTCAGATATTTCTTTATTTTTCACTCAAGCTTTAGAAGCATGAGCGCAACCGGAATCCTCGCTTCTTTACTTTCCATTTAACCTGATCAGGTACATGATTAAATGAAGCGGGAGAAGACTCTGGCTGAAGCATGATTTAATATTTCTGGACTTCCACCCGGTGCTAAATTGAGTGGATCAAACATCACTGAGAGGAAACTACTCAGGTGTGTTCATACAGAGAGCGAAGCAAGTTTTCATCCAGTGCAATTCAGGCAAATGTGACCAGTGGAGCGGAACAGCAAATGTACCGGCTGTACATTAGCTATAAGCTACGTAGCCACACACACACACACACACAGACTTTTTCTGTTCAGCTTTTAATAAAGCAGATCCAAAATGTCACCCGACAACATCTCTCCAAAGCCTGTTTGCACTCACTTCACCTCTAAACCTGATTTCGTGTTTCCTATGGAGAGTTCACGTGAGTATTGCATCTCGCACATGCTTCACGTTCATTTCTGACGACAGAGGGAGAATTTGTGTCTCAGGTGAACATCCTGTAGTTTGTGCTGATAAATGAATCCTGGTTAATTCTTCGTTAAGTTGAAACTCAATGGCACCAAAAAGATCATGAAAGCTTCGCCTCACACAAACACATTAACATCAGACTGACCGTCAGCAGCACCGGGAGGAATTAATTATGGCTCATTATTTGATTTTATGAGATTGATTTGATTATGAGCTGATGAATAAACAAGGACAGAGAATGGTAAGTCCAGTTTGAAATCAATTTGACACATTTAACAAAATTTTTTTTTTTTTACGTTTTATTTTTAATGACCTTATATAATAGTTGTATGAATATATCATCAATCGTGGTGTCTGCGGCCTTTCTTAGATAAACACGCATTCCATCTATTTTCTGCTTTTCTGAAACATTTCAAAGAAAAGTTTTTCACCCACACGTCAACTTGAGTTTTCACTTCCTTTTATCTGCTCTTGAATTTATTTCTAACAAATCCTACAGAAGTTTGCACAAAGAACCAAGACTGTGGTTTTTCTTTTTTGTGTTTTTGTTCTGAACTATCGGGGTCAAAGAATAAAATGTGGAGTTTCAATACACAGTGCAAACATACATGTTGAAAATATATAACCTGCATTTCTTTGACCCAAATGCCTCGTGACCTTCACAGTGAGCTGCACTCGGAGCCCGTCCTGTGGTGTAGGGCATCTATAAAGACCTCTCATACAAACTGAGTCAGCGTGGTGTTGACACCTGTTCACTGATATGATGGAGAGCTCTGCTGCTCTTATCTCCCACAATGTCACAAAGACTTATAGCCGGCATGAGCTCTTAATTTCCCTCCCTCAGTGGTCGCCGTCCTTTCCCCTTATTTTTCTTTCCTCCCCCGCTTGCTGGGATTCTGCTCCTCACCAGACTCGACTCTCTGTTGCTTCTCAATCTTCTCCAGACGTCCAAGTAAAGAGTCGATCTTCATCTTAATCTGAGTCAGCTCCCGTTTGATGGTCTGAAGCTGGTCCGTCTTCACTGCTGAGGCACAGGAAACAAACAGAAACAGAAGGTCTTCATTTATAGCTCTGTTTAGTTGGGTTTTCACTCCGTTCTAATGACGCTGCCTCACGCGGTTTATTACCGACTGCACGCTGTCATCTGTTAATATGCTTGGTTTTTAATTTTGGAGATCAAATCATCTGTCTTTCCTCTGGGAGGAACATCTCAGTCCGGCCGAGTCACCGAGCTGAAACCGCGTACCCGCTGTTTTCAATTTGAGGATTAGTACAAGGCTTACGCCCACCACCCTGCGCAGCGCTGCTCATGTTCTGCACAATAGTGCCGATATCTTTCAGTTAGCATGAGAAGTCAACTGAGAGAGAGAAAGTAATATGGTATTATTGCATAAACACTTAGATTTGACTGTTCCCTGAAGGAAGGACCTGAGGTAAAACGTGGAGCAGTGTTCGTAGATGTATTAAGTGATAGTACGATCATCCGTATCTTATCAGTTCAAATACAGAAGTATAAAATGTGGTTTCCAAATGTAAATCAACACTACTAAGGTTTAAAGTCTCAAGATAAAAGCGCTACTTTAAAGGAAAGTGTTTAAAATTGGTGCAGATTAAAAAACAATTCAAACTGTTATCTGCAGAATGACTGAACAGCTCATTCACCATTTTAAACACAAGCTTTGTTTTGTGATTTTTCTGAAATCAAATCTAACCTGCAGCTTGAATTCTCGTATCATTTTACACAGTTTTCTGTCGAGTTTCAGGCTAATATGAAATGTTGAGGAAAATGAAATGAAGTCAATCCACTGTGTTGCGCTCACATTTTATTTATAACACACTCACTGTAACTGAGGCTGATCATTGCCTCAGTAACAGAACCACATGAGAAACACGGGGCACAACTTGCCCTCCCACAGCTTCTGTTTACTGCCTCATGAATTATTGCTTTTCCCTCTTCCTGCCTCTCTTTGGTCTCCGTGTTCACTCCACAATACGCGTCTGAGTTTTGGGGGAAAATGAAGCAAAACAAAATCATGTCAAAGTTTTTCTTTGATCCTCGATATGTCACATGCAAAGAACATCTGCTGGAAATTTTAAAAAGGAAGCCGCCGTTAATTCAATCAGACCGAATCTCACGGTTGCTGAAGAGAGGATGCTCTTCCTCAGCAGCTTGAACCAAGCAGATTAAAGAATCCGGACCCCGCAGTAATAAAATAATCTTATTCCTTAACCCTCAGAAGCTGAGATGTGTCCGTTTTTTGAGAGGAGGGGAGAAAAACAGACAGCAGAAGTTGAGACGCGAACATAAAATTCTCTTTGACACCTATCAGGTTCCGTCAGGGCTGGCGAGCGGATGGATGAGTGCTCGGTAAACAAACCCACCACTTCCTGTAAAGTTGCAGCCAGAAAACCAGCGGCAGGAGACACGCACAGAATCAAAACATCGGCTGAGTGGAATCATGTCGGCGTGCGGCTCTTTCACAAAAGTTTCTCTGTGTTCATTTACACCCACACCACAATGTAGAGCCCCTTCTATGTAGGAGCTAAACTGATGCATAAAACATAAACATCCATTCTCTGAGCAGATGCATGATAAAAATGTGTGTTAGTCTGCGCTAACTGGATTTCCCAATAGGATGTTTTAATCGTTCAATAGAATTCATGGTGACAAAGAACCTAAGTGCTTCTTAGGTAGGATGGAGCGTGGTGTGGTCACTTCTTTAAAAGGCAGAAAGATTAATGTGAACATCAAAAAAGAAAGAACAGGACCACACCGATGTAAATATATACGTATGTAGCGTGCGCATGCTTTCTCGTAAAACAGCCGTCAAGCCCTAAAGCTACAGAATCGACCTTTGTGCTGCGGCAACAAGGAGAAAACAGTGGATAAACAACGATATCTCGATGGCGGGACGCGCTGAACCGTCGCTATCTCCCCCTCGGTATCACCTGCGCCCGTGAGCACAAAGCAACTTCCACAAACACTCATAGACACACTGGGTTTCTTATTCCAACACTATCGGAGCTCGCTGTGGGCAGCTTACTAGTTGTCGTTTGAAGATAAGAAAGTGTGGAACAGTTTTTAATTTATCGCCGCCTCCAGGCCTTTTTTCCCTTTTGTGCTATCAGTCACACAAGCTGCGGAGAGAAAAGCGAACATGTCCTAATCCAAACGCCGTTTCATCAACACGGCATCTCGGGGACGGCTCGGGTTAAAGGAAACAGGGGAAGAAGAAAAAAACGACATTGTTATTTAATCAGCATTAGGGAAGATTTAGGGAAACGAGAAATGGATCTAATTTTAGGACCTGGTGATGAACTGTAGAATGTTTATCTCGGGGACACTGAGGGAGGATCTCCTGAATCACTGGTCTATGAAGATTAAACCGGACAAAGAGCTGGTGATGCTGATGTAATTCAGACTCGAAATAGATGATGACAAGTTCCCAGCTCGGAGGTATTATCAAGATGGAGGATTTTGTGGGTAAAAATCTTAACACAGAATGGAAACACGATTATTTTACCATTTTAATGTTAATCTTGTATTTAAGTTTAATATCAACTTCCTAATACTTTTAATGTACTCTCGGCAATTAGTGAAAACAATCTACTGTACTTCGTTTTTGTAAATTAATTTAGGACAAAGTCAAATTAAATCCAAACTCAATATCGACAGATTTTATGACGCCAAAATAACTGTATAATATAACTGGGACTGGGAATTAAAACAATATCAGCAGTTATCACCATATCAATTTCATTTATAACAATTAAAAACAAGTTCATTATATATTAATATGTTTAAACATTGTGTAAGCACAGACATAACTGATCGTTTTATTGTGCGTGTGTGTGTGTGTGTGTGTGTGTGTGTGTGTCATTCTCTGCTCTTAATGAAGAGTTCAAAACATCAACGTTCTCTCAGGAGCAAAAGAAATCAGTGTTTAAACTTAGAAGAAAAAATAATGTGAAAATATTGTGATAATCATCGACTGATCTGAAAATGTACATCCTGATATGATGTTGAGCCTCATTGCTTCTTTAAACATGGTTCATCATCAGCGCTGAGCTTTAAGTTATGAAAGGATCTTATAAACAATCCTCCATATGTCTGGTTCTTCATGGTGAAGGTTGAGTTAGGTTTAATTTCATCTTCAGTCTTTCTTCAACAGACACAATGGGTCAAAAGTCAACGTCCGCTTCCAAAAGAGGAGTTTAATGTAAAAAAAACATCAACTCATCCTCGTCTGACAGAAGTTTCTTTAATTCCCCTCGAGTGAATTGTTACTCATACACGAGTCCTTCAACCGGCCCACACTGACCCACCCTGTTGTCTGGACGAGCTAACCTTATTCTGCTGTCCAGTCTATCTGGGGCAAAGTCTTCACCAGAAGTGATTTTTCATGGTCCTGGCAGAGGCAAATTAGTCTCCCAGCATGCAGCAGCACGACTCAGACACACGACAGAGGATTCATTGACTCTGTCCAAAAAGAGGAACGAGATGGGCTGATTTCCCTCTTCCCTAAAATACTAAATGCGACCGGGTTCTCCTGACAGACCTCACCAAGCTGCTCCTGCTGATAACACTGGCCGAGACGGGCAACAATGAACAAACACTGTAGCCAATTACACGGGCGGCTACGAGTGGAGAGACGAACGTTGAGGAAAACCCAGCTGACCACGGCTCCACATAGATGCCCTCAATCTCACGTTAATTACATTTAGGACGTTATAAAGCATCTCCGGTTAACCAGACGACCGAGCGAGATCCAGATGGATCCTGGAGCTGTTTGCTGAGCGAGCGCTGCTCCGAACGCTCTGATTATATTTGTGTTTGTTGTTTTTTTTCCCCTCTACATTGCAGCGCGGTTTGTTCAGAGCTGCTGGATTGAATTAAAAAGCTTTTCATGGCGGCGTAAGTAGCACAGCTGAATCTCGTCGCCACCTTCTTCTCTCCGAGCCTCTCCGCCTTCGCTCTTGTGAAAGGGACTGAATGCATATTGGCGTAATTGGACTGCGTCAAAAAAAAATAAGAAAACAAAAACCTTATATTGTACGTACGTTTGAGCCCGGAGGAGGAGGAGGATGTGGGTGGTCTGGAGGATGAAGAGGAGGAGGAGGAGGATGTTTTGATGGGGAAGGAGGTCTTCCCGCGGCGGGAGGATGGAGCGAGCACCCTGGAGCGTTTGAGGGGGATCACGGCTCTGGGTGGGGGGGCCACTCTGCCATGGTAGTCGAAAAGCCTCGAGACATAAAAACACCAATGATATTAGATTTCTCACACTGTTTTCATAAGTTACTGTATCCAATAACACGTCACATAGCATTTTGAAAACCCGGTTTATCTATTTATTTCACCTTCGGCTCATGTGCTGTTTTGCAACACTGATATCTGTATGGATTTCTCCTGGATTCTTTGTCTCAGCTTGAATAAAAACAAAAGGTAAACGCTCACCCCCAAAATAATCCCCTCGCATATCCTCTCAAAGTGAAGAGGATAAGGGAGAGAGGGCGCTAAATGTCAGATGAAGGTGTCAGCGTCGACTGTGACACTGGACGTCAGTCACGGCTCTCAACAAGTCTGACATTTAGAAAAACGCCTCGGCAGATAATCACTCTTATCGCCCGCAGATAAACGGGGGAGACAACAGAGAGCGTTCCTGCATCGGCGTGTTGTCTTGTGCGTTCAGACATTTTGACAATCCGACTATCTAAAGGTGCCTCTGAGGGACGGGTGGTAAATTCAATCTGACAAGGGCGGATTTTTAATGAGGAAGAGTCAAAATCTTAAGATAAAATTCTATTGACCATTCGGTAAACCTCTTCATCCACATGTCCGGTCAGAGCTTAGTCATCATCACAAGGCATCTGAGCCATGCCAAGTGTGAAACTCTGAATCTAAAGACATTTACAAGATCAAAAACTCTGCAAGAAAAGTATAAGGAATCGATTCAACAGTGGATTTATGTGTTTAGAGTAAGGTGAGTAAGATTTCCAGGCGAAGCAATAATGGTAACAGGGCTCAGGTATCTTATTTTAAGATTTAGGCTCGGCCAATATTTTGCAGCTTCCTGTGAAGACAGCAGATATCTGGGTCAAGACTCCATCTTCTTTTTACCTTTCACTGTTTACAATCCGACAAGCAACATGAGACAGAAGAATGGAGTTGACATTTACGACTGGATTCTTTAGTGTTTTACTTCCAGACGTCATTCGGGCAGATCTCTATTAAAAAGCTAACAGCATATGACGGCAGATAAATGAAACAGTCAATAGTTGATGCATTTAAGTAAACGTTCATTCAAATGCAGAATCTGTTTATGGAGATTAGAGCTCAGCCAAGGGGTCAATCGTTTCCTTGCTCAGTGTCAGATTTGTTTCCATGACGTGAATGGTACGTACCTGCTGTAGAAATCATCCCTGTAGTACTCGTAATCAAACTCATAGCCACTGTAAGAGAGAGAGACAGAGAAAGAAAGGTTGTATAAAGAGGAGCCATTTTGGATCTGTCAGGGGATCAAGCTCAAGCTGCTCTGACTCGATTGGACACCCTCTAGCTTTTGCCTAAAGCTCGGCGCAGGTTCAGCAGCGAGCCTGAGCCACGCTGGCACGCAAAGAGCACAGATCAACAAAGAAGAAGAAAAGTTTCAGAGGAAAAATTCAGTCGGGGGAACGAACTTCGACCCCGGAGAGGAAAAATCAATGTTCAGTACAAGCTCAGGACGGCAAGTCATTTAGAATTCAGAGGGAGGAATACAACTGAAGAGGAGGAAAGAAAAGAGAAGCTGTTTTGAAATGTTGCTTTTCTCACAGGAATCTGAATTAGTATTAATGCATCAGTTTTGCCAATTTAGAAAAATGTAGCGTTGGTTTTTTTTTTGCCTCTCCTCTTCCTGCTCCATAATTACCATATTATATCCTGGCTGTTTCCAGCTAAAGCTATAAAATGCAAATGAGGCTTTATGATAACACAATGCACAAATGAATAAATTAGTCAAAGAACATCGATTCAGAGAGAAACAGTGTAAATTGGTGGGAATATAAACTTTTCCAGTGAACAAACTATTAGTAAAGAGGAACATGTCACATTAGGCTGCGGTAAACAAGCCCTGCTTTCATCTGTGTGTGACCGGAATATGTGCACGGGCCAAAAGAAACAGGATAATGCTTAATGACGCTTGTAACAAGAGCATCTCCTCTGAGCTCCACAGGCCTGTGACCAACAATCTCCAGTCCAGGCTGCGGAGACGTGGAGCGCATTAAAAACCCAATTAGAAATTCAAGGTTCAAAAGGAAAAGACAGAAAAATTAAAAACACACGGGAACATAATAATCATTTTCTAAATATTACTCCACTCAGCGGCAGGATGTGGAGGACAGTTAATATTTATGACAGGAACTGTGAGTTGGACGGAGCTCACCTGTAGACGGCTGAGAGCGGCCGCTTGGTGCCGGCTTTGGGCCTGTAGGGCTTGGGCTCGCCTGCCATGTTTATGTCTGCAAAAGAACACATACACACACACACACACACACACACACAGTCAGATAAATCACTCCTAAGTCGTTCTTTAAGACGCTCTATTAAGCATTTATGAGCAGTATATAAACCCATTAATTAATGGGATAAAACCTAATATATAATTGTATGACCACATAGAACCCTATTGATTTATCTGCCTGCCAATATGAGACTTTCACATTCATACTGATATCTGGGTTTATCACATATATTTATATGAAACTTCACTGTAGAAATAAGGATTCAGAAATGGGAATTTACTTAAATGAGAGTTCTACATATTTGTTTCTATTCATTCATAGATATTCTCTACTGAACATCACCCTACAGAACAGGTCGTATTCCAGGATTTCATTCTGTGCATATCAACACTGAGGTTTTCCTCACTGCAGTGTGACCTCCAGTAATTTAAAACCCAGAAACTGTGTCAATGAAAGCAAAACCTTGAGAAATCCTCACACAGAGCGACGGCTGATGATTCTAGTGATGCTACTCCACACAGCTCAGAGCGGCGCATGAACAGAAGGCGGCATGAAAGTACCACTTCATAATAAACGGGAGTAAAACATCTCCTGAAGCGCTGAGCTATTTCCACCTATTCATGCGACACTTAAATATGCAACACACAAAGCTGAAGCACTGGAGGACATGCTCGCTAATGTCGGGGTGCAACGAGAGAGCCAATTTTCTGAGGCACAACTGGAGACCTTGCTATGCCTTGCACTGGAAAGATTACAAAATGAAATGCTCGTCGCGAAGCAGGAGAGAATCCTTGAGCACGTAAGAGCATATAAAGGAAAACTCCAACAAAAGCTGGGCGTTAGGGAGGCTTTGATTTATAGGCAGCTGCTCATTCTTTGTGTTTAAAAAGTAAAAAATCCGCCGCATAGTTTTGTGATTGAGCGATGCAGAATTTTTCAATTCACTATCTCTGCATTGCCAAGGGTGTCGCAAGGTCCTTGTGTTTTGTGAACATTCTGAGTGCTGACTGGGAGATGAGCCAGTGGGTCAAAATAAGCTCTCAAACAGCAAAACAGTCCAGAAAGTTTATGAGGCACACGTGAGGCTACTTTGACCGAAAGGGGAAGAAAGTTGGTCCCAAACCAGTTCCTCAAAAACGACTGTACGGATGTACAGATGTAGTATAAGAGGGAAGAGCCCATTTCATTTTGGTGCAGATCCTCGAATATACTTTGTACTTTAATATTGTTTGTAAAAAAAAAGTTTTTTAAACTTAATATTATGACCAAAGGTGGAAAAATTCCATAATTTGCTCTTAAAAAACATATTTCCTTTTATACCAAAGAACCTTTTGAAAGCATCTACACATTTATTAGAAGTGAAGTGCCGAGAAAGGTCTTTCACAGCCATCAGGAGAGACTGTGAGAACAAATACATTCATCAACATGGAGCCCTTGAAAGAATAAACCAAAACCTCCTCAGTGTTGTGAAGTCCATCTGAATAAGAGCCTCAGAGGAACATAGATCTCTTTAAGGGCACTTCTTTATTTTGCATCAAGCCACATTTTCACTATCATCCCGTCCCTTCCAGTGATACACATATGCTTAACTAATTCATGCACCCTTCCTGCCACCTCCCGCCCCAAAACTAAACAAGCAAAGCACACCAATCCCCCAGAGTGGAATCACACCAGGGTGAAAATAAGCTGCTGGCAAACTCTCGCCTCCTCTCCCTGAGGCTGCTCTTATGAGAAATAGGATTAAACCCTGGTCTGTTTGTACACCAACTACTTAGACATGCTAAAACACAGACTTTTTATGCAGAGCTGCATGACCAAGCGAGTGTGTTTCTGCATACATGACGGAGCATGTTGGGATTTACCGCAATCCTCATTAACCCGAAGGTTTACATAGAGGCAGGAGGGTGGTACCTTTAATTAGCCTGCAAAAACCCAGATGACAAAAAGCTCAAACTGTTTGAAAACCTTCAGACGAGTCTTGATGAGCAACAGAATAACTTCAGGTTTTTTTTACAACCCATCAACACCAGCGTCGGTTCTTATCACCGAATCTAGTCGACTTTCCAAGTTAACGTCTCGTCTGTATTCTACGTGTACGACGCTCCTGAGATATTTATATACTTTTGTTGTTTTTTTTACAGTTTTGCTTCCCTCCTGTGTCAGAAATGTCACTGACATTGCCCCCTCGCTCATTCTGTCTGGAGCAGCTGACTTCTCGAGCTATAAAGAACTCTGTTAAGCCATATCTTTAACAGCCTTTAAGTCTAATTGAGGCTGCAGAGATTAGTCTGGTTCAAGAGTTGACCCATTATTAGCACATTTGTGAAGCGGAAATGATAAATCAACAATCTATCTACAGAGGGTTCATCTATCAATGGCCTCAGTATGCAGAGATGGCATATGAGGCAGAACAAGGAGGCTGGACAGCAACAGTCGGTCCAACGGAGGTTGGCTGCAGGGCTTCATTGCAACATCCACCATCTAGGAAAAGCGAGGAATAGACGGACGAACCCTGCACCAGCTCATAAAAGAAACATCACAGACTGCAGAACACTGCAGCCTATGGCTCTGGATCAGGAGGAGAGACCACAACTGGGCCCCAAGATGTGAAGGACACACACCCAGGTCTGGGCAGCCTACGGTGGGTCTTGTGATTAAAAGGCTGAAACATGATGCTAAGGTGCACAACTGATGATACCTCCCTAACATCCACTGATAGATACACAAAGCACGTAAAGGCCTCGGAGCGAGCTACACAGCTAACTGCCTTATTAAGTATTTGCCTTTGAGAACACTGTGACCATCTGCTGCCGGTTTATTGGAGGTTCCCAGCATCAGGGGATGCAGCTTTTACACACCAGTGTGTTTTACTAACCTCACTTCTCTCTGTGTGTTGGAGGCAACAAACGCTTAACAACTGTTTGGCTTTAATCTCTTATGCAGGTTTTGGCAGAACACTTTGTGCCGACGCAGCAGTAAAACCACACGTACTGGGTCTACAGCCAGTGACTGTGTTTATTCGTGTTAGTCAGTTATCCTTGTGTTTGTTCCGTTGCTTTGCAGCTCGTTCAGTCTGAGGCTGGGTCAAACAGGAACGGAGGCGGAGCTCTCCGTGGTGCTGAAGTCACTAATGGTTGCTCAGCTCGGTCTGCACAGCAAATCAAATTTAAAAAAGCTCTTAATGTAAACGTGACGCAATTTCAAATCTGCAACCTTGAATGTTATTTTTAGACACTGATGAGCTCCTTTTTTCTCTCTCACAGAGATAGAGGGGCGCCTGTCTTTCTGTCGGAAACGAGAACCGCCCAGGAGTGGATAAATGTGTGAGGTAGCTTTGTTATTGGCTGAGGAAAATAAGTTGTGCAGCAGGTAAATTGCAGTGAAAAGACAAGAGGCATAGAGCGTAAGCAATCACCGAAGACAAACCTGTGCTCTTCTGTCAAAAAACACGGATCTGTGACTCCCTGGAGGAGCCTGCCCATGTGTTTTATTGGTCTCATTTGTTGCCTTCCATCTGCGTCTCTCTCAGACTTCTCCTCCTCGTGCTTCCTGTTCTCCCCTCAGCCTCACCCTATCCCTCAACGTCTCTTTCTCCATTCCCCTTCACTCTCCCTACCTCCACACTCGCACAAGACGATATCTAATCCCACATCACCATCCGTCACTCTCGCTCACATCCCATTTTTCTTCCCGTGTCCCTGTGCACGCAGAGGAGGCTCATTACGAGACATTTCAGCGCTGAGCGTCACCTGTGGGGCCTTTTCTAGGCGACACCTGTGCCGCCAGTGAATGCTCTGTAAGTCTTATTCCTCCCCTCTTTTCATTAGTGAGGGATGAATAACAGCACAGCGATGGAAGTTGAGGCTGTGAATAAATCAGGGCTGTAAACTGAGCCATATGGCGACATATTGCAGGGGAATCACTGGGATGAGAAAACACGTCAGTAGAAAGCAACAGGACCCAGAAAAGGAAAAGGGAGGGTGAGTCTCAAGAAAGACGCTCCTGGAAGGAATGTGGATGAGCTACAGTGGTGAGCACAAAAACTGCTGAAGCCACAACAAATCAGACTCTAATCCGTCGAGCCACTTTCTAACAGAGATCCACTTATACTGTATTCTTATAGAGGCGTTAAGAAGAAAAGCAATTTTTTTGCTTTTCTTTATTTACCCAAAAAGCAGCTGGGGCATGGACCAACTACAAATGAAAGAACACATCAAATCAAATTCTATCAAAGCTGGTTTCTGTCAAGATTACGCAAGCTACTGGCTGGATAACCATGAAATCTGGTGGACGGATGTTGAATATGTCAGGAAAGAGCCTATAAATAATTAAATTCTGGTGCGGATCTGGAACAGGGACTGAGCCAGGAGTTTGTTCTTTAACTTTGTGAGAGACATTAACATTTTTACTGATTTCCGAGGGAATAATTCATGGATCTTGATGAAAAAAGGACTGATATCTATGTGCAAATGGGTGTATCTTGATTTTAATTAAGGGGACTGTTGGGCCTTGGTGGATGTTGGCTCTCTACTCTTCTTCGTGGTGTCAATCCTGCGGCTCCGTTCACTTCTGCACAGACTCTGATGTCAAAAGCACAAAATGGCTGCACCCGTAACAAGGACATTTTTGGTTAATTCCTGTTCGAGACAGGTTGTCCATCTTTGTTTACTCTCCCTTTTACAAAGACGTCAGTCAGGCTCTGTGACCATCTCTCCGTCTTCCCAGGACACAATCTCCCCCCCGATGCAGCACATGTTCAAGCTTCTTCTTTACGTCCGCTCTCCCTCTCTCTCAGACAAAGGGGGGGAAACCAGCTAATAGCCCGAGGCTTCAGAGGATAGTGATCAGACATGGCTGGCACAGGTCACCACAAGGTCAGGAAGGGAGAGAAGGGTAGATTGTGTCTTGGTGAGCCAAAGGGCCTCTTTGTATTAGTGTGGGCAGAGCGTTGGAAGATGAACAGAAGGGCAGATTCTTTAAAATCAATTTCTCCTGCA